TCTTTTCTGAGGAAAAGGTTAACATGCCAAAGCAGGCAGTGTGGTGGAAAAGTTAATGGGGTGCTCTTTCCACTGACCAACACTGCCTTTCTGATAATTCCAATCTATAAAAAATTAAAGATATTGCAGACAGGTGGCATTTAAGTAGTTTTATAATATCTCATTCTAACTGAGATATTGAGTGGCAATGAGAGCATGGAAACAGATATAAATCACATTAGATTTCTGCATGTAGTTCATAAACACCTCTTTTAAAATGAAACTAAGATTGTGTGTGTGTGTGTGTGTGTGTGTGTGTGTGTGTGTGTGTGTCCACTGCTGTCTCTTGAAAAGGCCTAAAATAAAAACAAGCACTTGGCTAACACTGTGGTTTTAAAATTCCCTTCTCCACTAAAAGGAACCAGGGCTCCTTGGAGAAATGGCTGATCCTCCGGCTAGGGCATAGAAAGTACAGGATGAGCCTGGAGTATCTTCTTGAGCTAGAAAGTAACTACTAAAAGGAATCATGAGACAATAATGCGTCAGCAAGAAGGAGCTCCCACTGGCCAAAGCAGGGACATTTTGAGTATCAAAAGAAATATCAATGAATTATAAGCCACTGAATGAAATAAGAATTCATGAGTTCATACTGATATATTTATCAATAGATAAATAGATATAGATAGAAATAAATTTTAAAATGGAGAAGAGAAACTCTCCTTTACAGCAGAACACCACTTAATAAATATAAGGAATGACAACGTTAGAAAAAATTCGTCAGTGGATGCTGAAAACAAATGGGTAATGGGTAAAAATTTTATGAGGAACAGTATATTTATATAATTTCAAGGCATCTCACCACAAATTACTTATTAACTAACTACAAAGGAAAAAACAGTAACTTTTCAGAGGAAAACATGGTAGATACCACTTCAACCAAGTGATCAAAGCTAAATACCACCAACACGGAACAACCAACATCATGTGCCTCCATACATGATGCGCTAAGGACACAACTTCAGTGGTATTCCTACAAAAAATGTATAACCTGAATCTGATTATGAGGAAATATCAGACAAATGAGGGACATTCTCCTCTTAAAGAATGTACTTGTAGTCTTCAAAAAAGTCCAGGTCAAACAATACAAAGAAAGGCTCAGGGAGTGTTTCGGATTAAAGGAAACTAAAGAGACATGGCAGATAAACGCATTCAGGATCCTAGAATGGATCCTGGACAAGGAGAAAAAAAGAAAGTTTACAGTATCTTTTATAAAGATATTATTGGGACAATTGAATGGTGAATATGTTCTTTGAGTTAGGTAATAGTATTGCATAAACATTAAATTTCTGATTTTTTAAAACTATACTGTGGTTAAGTATGTCCTTGTTTTTAGAAATGCGCAGTAAAATATTTAAGGATAAAGAAGTATAATGTCTCTAACTTTCAAATATTTCAGAAAAAATATGCATATATCTATAAATATATGTAGAAAAAAATGGTAAACAAATGAGAAAAAATATAAACAACTGGCAAATCTGAATACAAGGTATATGGAAGTTCTTGTATTATTCTTGTAATTTTTTCCTGTATTTTAGAAGTTCTGTAAAAAAAGGGGGGTCCTAATTAAAATAGAAATTTAGAAAATGAATAAGTTAATCACCTACAATCCCACTATTCCAACAAGTTTCCTATACTCATTTTTTCATATTGCTTCTTCTAGTCCCTGTTTATGAGCACACACACAGTTGTAATCATTACATGGATGTAATTTTTACTTCTAACTTTTAACTTCTTATATTCCTTAGGCTTTTTACCTGTTGAGTTAAACTTACAAGATAATTTAGGTCATTTTCCATTAAAAAAAAAGCCCAGCAATCCAAACATGACTCAGCCGAGGAATGGACAAACTGTGGGACATCCATACAATGGAATATTACCCAGCAATAAAAAGGAAAAAAATTACTGATACACACAATAACATGGATGAATCTCAAGTGCAACATGCTAAGTGAAAGAAAGGTCTTTTGATTCTATTCATATGATATTCTAGAAAGGAAAACCCATATGGGCAAAAACAGGTCAGTTGTTGCCAGGGGCAGGAGTATAGGCGGAAAGTTTGGCTACCAAAGTGAACAAGAAATTCTGGGGGTGATGAAACTGTTCTATATCATGATTATGGTGGTAGTTATATGACTACTGTATATGTTTGTCAAAATTTGCAGAACTGTGCACAAAAAAGGGTGACTTCTACTGTATGTAAATTATACCTTAATTTAAAAATGAAAAAAATAAAGCGAAACAAAGTTGGGTTTTAAAAATAAGTTTCATTTAGTAGAGTAAGAATGTAAATCTATCCTCAGTCTGTATCATAAAAGTTTCCCACTTACATAAACAAATAGGATGTTATAATACAAAGTCAATACTCATATTCAAAACTGGTCTAAAGTAAAGTTTAATTGTAAATTAAATGCAACTGGTTATTGTTCTTAAATATGACCTCTCCTCTTCATTTTCACGGTTCCTGTTGCAACACTGAACATTTCTTATTCATATTACAACTGCCTCCTAGGGATTCCTGGCCTTTGGTCTCTTCACCATTCAACTTGAAATAATGCCAGACTGATCAATCTAGAGCACAATATAATATAACCACAAGATCTTTTGTTAAAACTTATCTTCTGTAGGATAAGTTCCAAACTCCTCAACAACAAAGCATTTGATGCATTTCGAAACCATGATCCAATCTACTGTGAGAGCTGCATCTCCTGTCACCTACAAACTACAGACTCTGCCCCTCAACCAGGCACACACAAAATAATCTACTCTCCACGTACACAGCACAACCTCCTACAAACCCTCCCTGTATTTTTAAAACACTGTAAAGGCCTGGAATGCCCTTCCTCTACCCTTCTGCTGGGCAATCCTCATCATCCCCATTTAAATTTACCTTCTTCATCATAATTTCTTCCTCTGGGCCTCTAGAGCATTTTGAAAAAAAGTATGTTTGCCTTTCCCACATACTTAAAGGACCATACTTGGGGACCTAAGCATGCAGCAGTTGCTCCATCAAAGTTAGCTAAATGAGAAACTAAGCAAATCAGATCATGTGCAACGGGTACCTTAAAATAACTTTGTTTACAACCAAACCACAGACTCATTTTAAAACTACATTTGCACCATCAGAGTTAGAATTGTTTTCTCAACTTTGCCTCTGGAATGAGTTATATTTTATCACTAAAACTATCAATAATATCGTTAATATTTCAAACCGATTTCTTATCAACGTATCATCTGGATTTTTCATACTCTGCCTGCCCAGAAATATCAATCGTGGTTACCATGAAAAATTCTATATCTCCATTACTTAGTCTCCTGAAAATAAAAGAACTATGAGAATTCCACGTTTAAAATATAATTTATTGACCAAAATTTATAACCTTCTATTCTGAGAAAATTAAACAGCTACATTAATATCCTGACTCTGGTAGTTCTTTATAGTTTGGCTTTTATTGAGGCTTTTCGACTACAAATATCAACTAGATGGAATTTCAGAGGACAGTTTAGTACCAGTGAATCAGATTTCGGAGGAAACTTAATATTTAACATCTTAACATCTTTTTATTTGATTTAATCCGATAAAAATTTACTCACTATAAGGGAGATCCTCTGAGAGGTGGGGAGAAGTCAGTCAGTCTTAGGCCTCAAGGATTTCATATCATAAAGGGAATAAAAACAAGCTAGATACTCTACAACTGAACCAAAATTAAATAAGGACCCAAGAGGTACAAAGTGCTGTGTATATTTAAAGGGAGATGGTACCTGAGATGAGCCTTAACAGATAGTTTTCACAATGGAAATGATATGCCAGGCAGAGAAAGAAGAGTGAAAGGGCAGAGAAGAGACTGAAGAGCTTGCAAAACATAAGAATATAAAGAATTCTGTTAATGAAGTGTGCTGCATATCCTTTGTGGAAGCACAGTGTGAATAAATAATTACCAACAATTTCAGTTGAAAGTGATGAGAGCTACAGCAGGGTTAAAGAGAACAAAAATGAAAAATAAAGACAAGGACACGTCACAATTTCATAATCAGATTATTGGTGGCCTTACCTGACCTCTGTGGTGAGGTCAGAATAGACTGTAAGATATTTCAGCATGGTAAAACAAAGGTGGCTCAATATAAAAGGCTCATTATGAATGGAAAGAATTAAGGCGAGCAAAAAAATAGATTTTTCAGAATACAGAAGACCTGAATGTTTGCTGACAGAGAGAAAGGAGCAGATGGAAAGGTAAAGATGGAAAGATTCAAAAATGAGAGGGTACACTTAGTTTTTGCAATAAAGTTACAGAAAGTTGTTGGAAAGACTAGCATGAAAAGAGGAAAGCTGGGCCCTGGAAAGGAAGAGTGAACTTTTTTCCTCTAGGAAGGAGGAGCACTTCTCTGAGAGAAAAGCAAGTTAGTTGAGAGATCCTGAAAGGCTTGGGGGAAAAAAGTACTTTAGAGATTTGAGGAGCACAGAGATTTGACAAGGACAGGAAGAAAATCAAGAGACAAATAAAATGGATTCCAGCAGCAGTGAGGCTTAGCTGGATTCAAAAATGTAAATTTGCAGAGATCCAATCAGCATAGTTGATGACTTTCTCCAAACAATCTCAGAAGCCTGGGAGGCTGTGGAATGAAAGCAAACTGTGGGAAAGGAAATCAAAAAGTGACTTGAATAAATTAAAAGTACTCAGGTTGGCAGGGCTGAGACAAGTACCCAGTCAGCTCCCACATCTAGTTCAGCAAACTCTTTTGACTGTGTTGACTCGTTTTTGAACAAAATCTTCCTAAGGCTGGTTATGTTTAAAAGCTAATGGCCAGTTTTAAAGTTTTAAAGCCATGCTATTACAGCAATGTAATGACATACTTAGTCTTTGAGTACTAAAACAATAAAATTAGGACTTTTGACATATAAAACGTCTTCAGCTATGAAAAGTCAGAAATATTCATTGCTAGACAAAACCCATAATGCCACTTACCTGACAGCTTCGGGAAAACCCATCTTGTAGAGTGTGACAACTACAGCTCCTCCAAGGCCCAAATTATGCTGCAGAGCAACCTTTGCACCAGGAACTTGTCTTTTTCCGGCTTCCCCTCTCAGCTGCCAGCAGAGCTCAGCGCACTGAGCCAGACCTAACAAATCGAACACAGAGCAGTCAGATTCTGTTTAGAAAGCTGCCTCAACAGCTTTCGCAAGCCAGACACAGGTTAATATTTAATTGTGACTTTAATTAAGCCGAGACATTTGCTTAAATAATAACTTCTCTTAAAAGCACTGATGGTTTTGCACCTAGTTTTCTTCCCTAAGTAATCTCTGAATTTAGACAGTATTTAGGCTTAAGAACTTCTCTGCACTCTTTAAATTTATCCAATTTGTCATTTTCTGGCCATGTTCAAAGAGAAAACACTGAATACACAGTTCTCTGGCCCAGGCAAAACAGCATAAAAGTAATTTAACTAATTTTGCCATTTTTATGTATCAAAAAAAAAAAAACACACTAGGATCTGGGAGTTCATTTTCCCTAAAACATTCAGCTGGTATGGAAATTTTCCTATTATTTTCCCCAAACAGCTTGCAACAAGAATGAATTGATTTCCAAACCTATACGTAGCTATTCACAAGAATAGGCCTGGATTCACAAGAATAGCTTTGTTCCCTAGACAATAAAATCAAAGGTTTTTAGAGCTGAAAAGAACTTAATCACGTAAGCACTGAGAAACTGTAATGTGAAGTAATTTCTGATGGCTACAAAACAGGCTAATTCCAGAGCTGAGATTAGAACCCAGGTTTCCTAATTTACACTTGTCTGTCTTTCTACCAGACCAGTTATTCAAGGATAACCAAATTAAGACTGTTCTATCAGGATAGACTGGTTTCCTCCTCCTGGAGGCAGAGCTTCACAAGTCTACTTACAATGTCTGTTCTCTTTCACCCACACTCCCAATCACAACTTCGGATTCCTGAGTACTTGGTGACAGTGTCCTGGTACAAACCTCAACCTCCTCAAGAAATTTAAATGCCACTTCTCATTTCCAAGCAGTGTCTATAATTTTACACAATATATCTTAAACCCTGCTTTAAAATACTCAACTCTTCATCCTGTAATAATTTTTTGAATTGTGAACATTTAAAATATTAATTAAGAAGGTCAAAATAAATGATTTTACCAATATATCCAACCTTTGGGGTGATCAATTTCACTACAAAGCCATATAAAAAGTTCAAACATTTAATAAATATGTAAGACCAAAAAAAGTATTCAAACTGGCTTAATATACACATGGGTGGGGAAATACTTCTAGTTTTCATCACGGAAGAATAAATAGTTTACAAATATTTGAGAAAGTACTCAACCTCACCTTGATCATATCAAAGAGAATGATACCATTTTTAACAAATCAAACTGGTAAGCATGTTTAAAAATGGAACTAATCAATGCCGAAGAGGCTATGGCAAACAGCCACCTACATAACATACTGGTGGAGAGTTCAAACTAGTACAACCTTTTGAAAAGCAATGTAAAAAATTATTAAGAACTTTTAGAATGTCCCGAAAACCGTTCTATGGAAAAAATCAAGTGTAGGGGTTCAGAACAGGCCTCCCCAAAATGTGCCACTATGGCATGTGAATTATTTTGAGCTAAAAGTAATCAAAACCCTGCAGGCTCATAAGAAACTTTTACCTCTCAAAGAATTTAAATTAGGGACCTTGCCCATAACAAGAGTTATCACCAAAAATAACTTTTTTTGGCCTAAGCATATGGGAGGGCAAACTACTAATTACTGAACATCTGCTCTTCTTATTGTCCTGCAATGACCTTCCTCCCCTTTGAAGCTCCAAGGCACCTTATCTCAGGCTCAGAATATCATATATACCTCATTTTCCATTTCTGTCTTTGAACCTCTTATCTATGCAGGGTCTCTGACTCTCTCAGGTATGTGGGGTTTCCATGCATATGTATGTAATTAAATGTGGTTGTTTTCTCTTGTTAATCATTCCATATAGATTTAATTATCAGACAAGCTGAAAGAACCTTGAGGATAGAGGAAAGTTTCTTCTTACCCCACACAAGCATAGGCAAAGTTTAACAAAGCTATTCTTTGTTCATCACATTGTTATTACTGAAAAACTAGATAATCTAGAAGTGAAATAAGTGGGGAATGGTTATATAAATTATGAGCTATCCATATGACAAAGTACTATGTTTCTATTTAAAATGTTTATAAAGTTTAACAATTTAGGAAAATTCTTATAATCTTATAATCTTAGTAAATATTGCAATGAACCAATTAGACATTCATCTACCCATACGGCCAACAAATATTTAATGTATATTATGTGCCAGACACTGCACATAGCTCAGAAGATCCAGCAACAAACAAACTAGGCATGGTCTTTTCCCTCAAGAAGTTCATAGTCTGAGATATCAAGATGCAGGCATTTATAACACAGTCTGATAATGCTACTGTAGGAATTAGCACAGGTGCTACAAGCACACAGAAGAGAGATATCTCTCATAGCTTAGTAGGTCAAGGAATGATTCCCAGATGAATGGACATCTAAACTGAGATCCTATGAATATAGAGGAGCTAGCCAGGCAGAAAGAAAGAAAGAATGCTTTAAGAAGAGAGATGAGCATGTGCAAAGAAAGAACATGGCCTGTTTCATGAATAGAAAGTTAAGTGAGTGCTAGAGAGTGCTCAAGATAGTCAATATGAGAGTGAGATAGAGGGATGGAGAGGGAGAAAGTGGAAGGAGAAGTGGGGAGAAGGCCAGAGACGGAAGGAGAGAAGCACAGAGGTGGAGGAAGGGGAGGGAGGCAGGCAGAGAGAGGGAGAGAGGGAGGAAGGGAAGGAGGAAGAGAATATACTGGAAGTACTTTCAGATTTTGCAATATTTCAGCTGCCTCATATCGTTGATACTGTAGAAGTGGTAAACTGTGATAAATCTCTACTCATGCCCTGCCTAACTCACATATGGAAAAAAAAAAGGGAGAGAGGAAATAAATATCTATATTACCAACTTATTTTCTTATAATTTATTTGCTTTTGATAAAAATTGAGTGTACGTAAGAAAACATACTGAACATTTGACCTTTCTGGTTATCTATCTTTAGAATAAACTGATGTTTCTTGTGTTTCTTAAATCTAGATCTGTGAAGGACTGAAGTCAAAGTTGGCCTCAGAAATCCACTTGCCAAGAAGACACAGCAGACGGTTACGAAAGCATAAACTATTTGAGTATATTTTTAAAAAAATGTTCTTTCCTTGGATAATTTCTGGCACTGAAATGAAAACCATACTTTTCCTCTGCCTGGAAAAAATAAACTATCAAACATGAATATATTTATAAATTGTGGATGGGCATAGGATTGGGAATCCTGTCAAAGCGGTAATACCCTTCTTATAATCTCTTATGAACAAAAAAAAGTTCTTTTAACCTGATTACTTCATTTTACTACCATCTTTTTTTAGCTTTATTTTTTAAATTTATTTTTAAATTAAGTTTATTGGGGTAACATTGGTTAATACAAATATATAATTTTCAGGTGTACATTATAATTTGACATCTGTGTATTCTATTGTTTACCACCCAAACTCCAGTTTCCTTCAGCTACCATATATTTGATCTCATTTACCCATTTCAGACTCCCCCTACCATCCTATATTTGACCCTCTTTACCCCGTCTACCTCCCCGCTTCTCCCCCACCCCTTATCCTCCTGTAACCCCTAGTCTATAGTCCATGTCCATGAGTCTCTCTTTGTCCTGTTCGTTTGTTGCTTTTAGGTTTGTATCCTACATAGAAGTGATATCATGTGATTTTCAACTTTTTCTGTCTGCTTTATTTCACTTAGCATGATTATCTCGAGGTCCATCTATGTTGTCGCAAATGGCAGTATTTCATCTCTTCTTATGGCTGAGTAATATTCCATTGTATATATGTACCACAGCTTCTTTAGCCAATCATCTATCATAGGACATTTTGGTTCCTTCCATGTCCTGGCCACTGTGAATAATGCTACTATGAACATCGATGTACAAATATCTTTACGGAGATGAGTTTTCAAGTCTTTGGGGTAAATACCCAGTAGAGGGATTGCTGGAGCATATGGTAGATCAATTCTTAGTTTTTTGAGGAATCTCCATACTGTTTTCCATAGCAGCTGTACTGATTTGCCAGCAGTGTATGAGGGTTTCTTTTTCTCCTCATCCTCTCCAACATTTGTTATTAACTTGTTCTGCTGATTATAGCTATTCTCACTGGTATGAG